GTAGGCTTCCTTTAGTATTGTCTCCAATTTCTTTGTATGATGGAGGATTACCAGGACTCCTCATTGGAGACACTTGAGCTCCATCATCTAGAGGGGTGTAATGATCGGGTGTCACCATACTTTTGGCCATATAATGTAGACTTCCTTTGGAATTGTCTCCAATGTCTTTGTATGATGGAGGATTACCAGGATCCTTCACTGGAGACACCTGAACTCCATCATCTGGAGGGGTGTAATGGTCGGGTGCCACCAAACTTTTGGCCATATAATGTAGGCTTCCTTTGGAATTGTGTCCAATGTCTTTGTATGATGGAGGATTACCAGGATCCTTCACTGGAGAGACCTGAGCTCCATCATCTAGAGGGGTGTAATGGTCGGGTGTCACCATACTTTTGGCCATATAGTGTAGGCTTCCTTTGGTATTGTCTCTAATTTCTTTGTATGATGGAGGATTACCAGGACCCTTCACTGGAGACACCTGAGCTCCATCATCTAGAGGGGTGTAATGATCGGGTGTCACCATACTTTTGGCCATATAGTGTAGGCTTCCTTTGGAATTGTCTCCAGTGTCTTTGTATGATGGAGAATTACCAGGACCCTTCACTGGAGACACCTGAACTCCATCATCTGGGGGGGGGGGGGGTGTAATGGTCGGGTGTCACCATACTTTTGGCCATATAGTGTAGGCTTCTTTGGAATTGTCTCCAATGTCTTTGTATGATGGAGGATTACCAGGACCCTTCACTTGAGACACCTGAACTCCATCATCTGGGGGGGTGTAATGGTCAGGTGTCACCATACTTTTGGCCATATAGTGTAGGCTTCCTTTGGAATTGTCTCGAATGTCTTTGTATGATGGAGGATTACCAGGACCCTTCACTGGAGACACCTGAGGTCCATCATCTGGGGAGGTGTAATGGTCGTTTCACCATACTTTTGGCCATATAGTGTAGGCTTCCTTTGGAATTGTCTCCAATGTCTTTGTATGATGGTGGATTACCAGGATCCTTCACTGGAGACACCTGAACTCCATCATCTGGGGGGGTGTAATGGTCGGGTGTCACCATACTTTTGGCGGGTAGGCATCCTTTGGAAATGTCAGATTCAACACATACCCAGCAATATGTTCGCAGCACCCCTGAGAACGCCTCACGTTGTTTGTGTCATTTTACAGGGAATGCGTGGGATTTGATTTCCTGAAAATGGTTTGTGACCATTATGAATCTACTCCTGATATTGAGAAAGCACAACTTCTACAGATCGAACTGTTGACGAAGCGAGGAAAGGAACTGCTTGCACGAAAGAAAGTCGAAGACTTAATAACAGGTATAAACGATGATGTCAGGGACGTCGGTGGAAAATATATGTATGAGGTGATGGCCTTGTTACATTCAGGGTCTTTCTGAACATTATGTGCAACACCAGCTTATAACAGGAGATGAGGTAACTTCTTCTCAATTCTGGTCAGTTGTGGTTTGGCTGACTTTTAGTAATCCTCCCAAAATCCAGAATTTCCAAGCAGGAAGTCCTGTTGAAGTCATTGAAAATCCAGTCTTGCCAAAGAATGGTGCAGAATAGTTTGGAAAGTTCCTGGAAGCCAAGCCAATGAGATGACGGAGCCTAAAAACAGCCTGAGCATCCTTTTTTTTTTAAAAATCCTACCAGGAATACTAAGATAGAAGGGCGGGACTGGTAGTCAGGCTAAGGGTACCCAGGGAACAGCAGGAGCAGCCTTTGTCCCTTTCTCGCTGCATTTTTGGAACATTAACTGCCAAAAGTAACAGTGAAATTTGGTCCAAATATAAAGTCGCCTAAATTTCAGATATAAGAGCTGTGGTAAATGACCAGTGTCAGGACCTGGGTCTCAACCTGCGACCTCTGCTGCATCTGGCAATGTCTCTTCTTACTGATCCACCTGAGATGCTGGACAGCTCACTGAAAAGTTCCTTGAACACTCTTGTCCTGAACCTGGTTTCATGTGAGCCTTGAACCCTTTGCTCCATCCATGAACTTTCTGATGTATAGCAAAGTTCCACCTGAAAAAAAAATAAAAGTCAGCAGCTACAAAAACTGAAGCTGCTGACTTTCAAAATACAGCCACTTACCTGTCCCCCGGTCTGGTGGTGTCCTCGCCACCGCTGGTTTCACGGGCCGTCTTCTCTCCCCGGCATCTTCAGTGTGGGCACCCGGCTGTGACAGCTTGCGGCTTCACAGCCGGGTGCCCACTGCGCATGCGCGAGAAGCGCTGCTCTTTGTGAATGGCCCCGTAGTTTTCTGGGACCGGTCACGTGTCCCAGAGGACTATGGGGAGGGACAACTTCGCTTCCGATCACCTAGGCGATCGCAGTGGAAGTGGGATCGGCTACCTGTCAAATTCTGGTAGGTACCCGCTTCACCCCCCTCTCCCCAAAGGTGCCAATCCTTAATGAGGAGAGGGGGGACAGAAGGCTTAAAGTGGAACTTCCCCTTTTGGACAGAGCTCCGCTTTAACTGCCAAAAGTAACAGTGAAATTTGGTCCAAATCTAAAGTTGTCTAAGTTTCAGATATAAGCTGTGGTAAATGACCAGTGTCAGGACCTGGGTCTCAACCTGCGACCTCTGCTGCATCTGGCAATGTCTCTTCTTACCGATCCACCTGAGATGTTGGACAGCTCCCTGGACAGTTCCTTGGACAATCTTGTCCTGAACCTTGTTTCATGTGAACCTTGAACCCTTTTGCTTCTACCATGAACTTTCTGATTTAGGCCTTGTCTCTGCACTTCCTGTTTGCCGGATTATTGTGCTCTCTGCGGCCAATATCTAGCTCCTCGCTCCTGCTGCCATCCGTATCTTCACTGCCACTCATTACTGAGATTTGGCTTGTCCCTTGACTACACTTCCACTTGATCCCAACCTGCAACTACTTGTTACCGCCCTTTGGTTTGTGTACTGACTATGCTTCCGCTTGATCCCAACCTGCAACTACTTGTTACCGCCCTTTGGTTTGTGTACTGACTATGCTTCCGCTTGATCCCAACCTGCAACTACTTGTTACCGCCCTTTGGTTTGTGTACTGACTATGCTTCCGCTTGATCCCAACCTGCAACTACTTGTTACCGCCCTTTGGTTTGTGTACTGACTATGCTTCCGCTTGATCCCAACCTGCAACTACTTGTTACCGCCCTTTGGTTTGTGTACTGACTATGCTTCCGCTTGATCCCAACCTGCAACTACTTGTTACCACCCTTTGGTTTGTTTACTGACTACGCTTCCGCTTGATCCCAACCTGCAACTACTTGTTACCGCCCCTTTGGTTTGTGTGCTGACTACGCTTCCGCTTGATCCCAACCTGCAACTACTTGTTACCGCCGCCCTTTGGTTTGTTTACTGACTACGCTTCCGCTTGATCCCAACCTGCAACTACTTGTTACCGCCCCTTTGGTTTGTGTGCTGACTACGCTTCCGCTTGATCCCAACCTGCAACTACTTGTTACCGCCCCTTTGGTTTGGTTTGTGTGCTGACTACACTTCCACTTGATCCCGACCTGCAACCGCTTGTTACCGCCCTTTGGTTTGTTTACTGACTACACTTCCGCTTGATCCCCAACCTGCAACTACTTGTTACCGCCCTTTGGTTTGTGTACTGACTACGCTTCCGCTTGATCCCAACCTGCAACTACTTGTTACCGCCCTTTGGTTTGTTTACTGACTACGCTTCCACTTGATCCCGACCTGCAACTACTTGTTACCGCCCTTTGGTTTGTGTACTGACTATGCTTCCGCTTGATCCCGACCTGCAACTACTTGTTACCGCCCTTTGGTTTGTGTACTGACTACGCTTCCGCTTGATCCCAACCTGCAACTACTTGTTACCACCGCCCCCTTTGGTTTGTGTACTGACTATGCTTCCGCTTGATCCCGACCTGCAACCGCTTGTTACCGCCCTTTGGTTTGTGTACTGACTATGCTTCCGCTTGATCCCAACCTGCAACTACTTGTTACCGCCCTTTGGTTTGTGTACTGACTATGCTTCCGCTTGATCCCGACCTGCAACCGCTTGTTACCGCCCTTTGGTTTGTGTACTGACTACGCTTCTGCTTGATCCAAACCTGCTATATATGCTGCTGGACCTCAGTTTGGTCACCTCCTGGTGAGGCTATCCTGAGGACCAAGACCTGGTACTAATATGCAACAAAATCCATCTCCACCATCAGGAGCTCTGGTGATCACTGGTTAGTACTTAGACCCCGCACCTCGGGTGAGCCTGCCACTCCCACCAGGGTGACCTAATTGTGTATTTATCCTGCTGGTCAGTAGGAGCCCCTCAAGTGCCATAGCTACTTGACTCCCAGCCTGACCCCTGACCTGACAACCAGATTACCTTGGAATGTGATCAGACTTTAGACGTTCCATTGGAAATGGTAGGATGGTACTTTGCATACCCAAATGATACTCCTACTCTTTTCAGGACACAGGAGGTTAGGTGTTATTACCAGGACAGGGCCAAGGGGTAGGCAGAAGGGGCAGCCGCCCAAAGTGCTTCAACAGGAGGGGAACTTATACAGGGAAGGACCTGTAACCTACAATATGCGGCCGAAGCCGTTCACATCTCTTAAGGGTAGCTTTACATTTAGGCCTTTTTTGCTTTGGGTCCTGGAGGGCACTGGTTATTGTGAACGCTGGTATGGACATGGCGCAACGTTGTTCCGGTTTTATTTTTCAGGACATTACACTAGGAAACCGCTGTCTGCTGAGATCTTGAGCAATTTGCATGGCGTTTTGTGGGACTGCGCTGCTACAAGCTTTGAGGTCAGTAGGAATTATGGTGTCAAGGACTTTCCCCCCAATTCACGAAAATTAGGCATCTGCTCCGGCATTAATCTGGATGGAGTATGTGTGTTTGTAGCCGATATTGTTTATGTATGTAATCAGGGCTGTGGATAGACTGCAGACACATAGTACAGTAGAGGGTCAGAGACTGCAGACATAGTACAGGAGAAAGTCAAACTGCAGACATGGTACAGGAGAGGGCCAGAGACTGCAGACAGTACAGGAGATGGTCAGAGACTGCAGACATAGTACAGGAGATGACCAGAGACTGCAGACACGGTACAGGAGACAACCAGAGACCGCAGACACGGTACAGGAGACGACCAGAGACTGCAGACACGGTACAGGAGACGGTCAGGAGAGACTGCAGACATAGTACAGGAGACGGTCAGAGACCGTGGACATGGTACAGGAGACGGTCAGAGACCGCAGACACGGTACAGGAGACAACCAGAGACCGCAGACACGGTACAGGAGACGACCAGAGACTGCAGACACGGTACAGGAGACGAGCAGAGACTGCAGACACGGTACAGGAGACGGTCAGAGACTGCAGACATTGTACAGGAAATGACCAGAGACTGCAGACAGTACAGGAGAGGGTCAGAGACTGCAGACGTGGTACAGGAGACGGTCAGAGACTGCAGACGTGGTACAGGAGATGACCAGAGACTGCGGACACAGTACAGGAGATGACCAGAGACTGCGGACACGGCACAGGAGAGGGTCAGAGGCTGCAGACATGGCACAGGAGACGATCAGGAGAGAAGAGGAGGAGAGGAGAGGGTTGGAGAGGAGGGGAGAAGAGGGAGAAGAGGAGAGGATTGGAGAGAAGAGAAGAGGAGAGGATTGGAGAGAAGAGAAGAGGAGAGGATTGGAGAGAAGAGAAGAGGAGAGGATTGGAGAGAAGAGAAGAAGAGGAGAGGATTGGAGAGAAGAGGAGAGGAGAGGGATTGGAGAGAATAGGAGAGGATTGGAGGAGAGGAGAGGATTGGAGAGAGGAGAGATTGGAGAGAGGATTGGAGAGAAGAGAGAGAGAGGATTGGAGAGAAGAGAGGATTGGAGAGAAGAGGAGAGGATTGGAGAGAAGAGAGAGAGGGAGAGGAGAGAAGAGAAATTAACAACAGGTGCACTAGATGGGCAACAATGAGACTACCCCCAAAACAGGAATTGTTTTACAGGTGGAGGCCGCTGACATTTGTTTCCTCCTCATCTTTTCTGACTGTTTTTCACTAGTTTTGCATTTGGCTCGGGTCAGTGTCACTACTGGTAGCATGAGGCCATACCTGGACCCTACAGAGGTTGCACAGGCAGTCCAACTCCTCCAGGATGGCGCATCAATACGTGCCATTGCCAGAAGGTTTGCTGTGTCTCCCAGCACAGTCTCAAGAGCATGGAGGAGATTCCAGGAGACGAGAGCGTGGAGGAGATTCCAGGAGACGAGAGCACGGAGGAGATTCCAGGAGATGAGAGCACGGAGGAGATTCCAGGAGACGAGAGCATGGAGGAGATTCCAGGAGACGAGAGCACGGAGGGGATTCCAGGAGACAAGAGCATGGAGGAGATTCCAGGAGACGAGAGCGCGGAGGAGATTCCAGGAGACAAGAGCATGGAGGAGATTCCAGGAGACAGGCAGTTCCTCTAGGAGGGCTGGACAGGGCCGTAGAAGGTCCTTAACCCATCAGCAGGACCAGTATCTGCTCCTTTGTGCAAGGAGGAACAGGATGAGCCCTGCCAGAGCCCTACAAAATGACCTCCAGCAGGCCACTGGTGTGAATGTCTCTGACCAAACAATCAGAAACAGACTTCATGAGGGTGGCCTGAGGGCCCGACGTCCTCTAGTGGCCCCTGTGCTCACTGCTCACCACCACAGAGCTGGATTGGCATTGGCCATTGAACCCCAGAATTGGCAGGTCCACCACTGGCGCCCTGTGCTTTTCACAGATGAGAGCAGGTTCCCCCTGAGCACATGTGAGACGTGAAAGGGTGTGGAGAAGCCGTGGAGAACGTTCTGCTGCCTGTAACATGGTTCACCATGACTGTTCTGGTGGTGGGTCAGTGATGGTCTGGGGAGGCATCTCCATGGAGGGCAGTGGTGTATTTAGGTTTTGTGCTGCCCTAGGCAATACAAAAATTGCCTGCCCCCATGGACACTGACCAACACTACCTCCCCTTCCCCCTCCCGTGGAGAGAACCAGACATTGAACGACAACACCCCTGCCCCCCCATATATAAATAGAAAGAAAGACACTCATCTTCACAACTCCGGATATGCAGGGAACGAGAGTCAGGCTCTACATACACCATCAAGCAGCCTCTGTCAGATCCCACCTGGTTACCATGGCATGCATGTCCCTTCTTCCATCTCTCCTTCTGGGGAGAGGTGCTGCCCCCTGCAAAAATGCCACCCTAGGCAAGTGCCTTGTTTGCCTTGTGATAGCACCCTGACTGTCATTAGGTATGGGGATGAAATCCTTGGACCCATTGTCAGACCCTATGCTGGTGCAGTGGGTCCTGGGTTCCTCCTGGTGCAGTGGGTCCTGGTTTTCTTCCTGGTGCGGTGGGTCCTGGTTTCTTCCTGGTGCGGTGGGTCCTGGTTTCTTCCTGGTGCGGTGGGTCCTGGGTTCCTCCTGGTGCAGGGGGTCCTGGGTTCCTCCTGGTGCAGGGGGTCCTGGGTTCCTCCTGGTGCAGGGGGTCCTGGGTTCCTCCTGGTGCAGTGGGTCCTGGGTTCCTCCTGGCGCAGTGGGTCCTGGGTTCCTCCTGGCGCAGTGGGTCCTGGGTTCCTCCTGGCGCAGGGGTCCTGGGTTCCTCCTGGTGCAGGGGGTCCTGGGTTCCTCCTGGCGCAGTGGGTCCTGGGTTCCTCCTTGTGCAGGACAATGCCCGGCCTCATGTGGGGAGAGTATGCAGGCAGTTCCTGGAGGATGAAGGAATTGATAACACTGAATGCCCCCCACGCTCGCCTGACCTAAATCCAATAGAACCCCTCTGGGATGTCATGTTTCGGTCCATCCGACGCCGCCAGGTTGCACCTCAGACAGTCCAGGAGCTCAGTGACACCCTGGTCCAGATCTGGGAGGGAATCCCCCAGGACACCATCCGTGGTCTCATTAGGACCCTCCCCCCGACGTAGTCAGGCATGCGTACAAAACACGTGGGGGCCACACAGACTACTGAGGACCATTCTGAGTTGCTGCAATGACATTTCAGCCAAAATGGACTCGCCTGCTGCATCATTTCTTCACTTTGATTTTTGGGGTGTCTGTGAATGCAGTCCTCTGTAGGTCGATCATTTCCATCCAACGATGGGGCGTCATCACCCATCCCCCGTTCATGTCAGTATAGAGATCCAGCAGGAGATTCCTCCCCATTGGGATCTGATGGGTTCTCAGAGTCTTCCTTCCAATTTTTTCAGTCGTGTATATATTGTTTTATCATTCATTGCTGTCATGTTTGTGTTTTGCTCTTCAGAAGAAAAGTTACTCGGAGGCCTTGGAATGGTACAACTACTCACTGGGCATTTATGCCTCAGACTGCACTGAACCCAACTTTGCCAAAGTACAGAGGAACCGAGCGTCCTGCCTCCTGCACCTCAAGGAATTCTCCAAAGTAAGATTTGGGTTTTTAATGGACTTCATTACACCTCAAGGGCCCAGCCTAAGACTTTCATAAAAATATATTTTTTTATATCTTTTATAATTTTTAATGTTATATTTTTTGTCACTATTGACTTATTGATTATTTTTTGTTGCAGTGCATTTATTTATTTGGTATATAATTTTCATGAATTTTGGCGCTGGTGATTTGTGTTTAAAAAATATTTTTCTCAAAATGGTCTTTTTTTGCTTATAGTGCAAAAAATTACAAGCGCTCAGGCGATCAAATACCAAAAGAGCAAAAGAAAGCTCAATTCATGGGGGAAAAAAAAAAAGGACGTAAATTTAATCTGGGTGTGGCGTGACATGACCGCGCAATCGTCAGTCAAAGTAACGCAGCGCCGTAGCGCAAAAAATAGCGTGGTCAGGAAGGGGGGGAGGTGGAATCCTCTGGAGGGCAAAGGGGAGGGGTTATCCTCTGGAGGGTGAGGGGAGGGGGGGGGGGTTAATCCTCTGGAGGGCAAGTGGTTAAAAAGATTTTTTTTTTTTGATCACTTGTATTGCTGTATGTAAACATCCCCTGTGACAGCAATAGGCAGTGACAGGTCCTCTTTATGGAGAGATTTGGGGTCACAGATCCCACAGGGACCCCAGATCCCTCCTCTGCCCTTAAAAGCATTCAATCACACCAAGATCAGTGCGGCTGAATGCTTTTATTTTTTAAAAATGGCGCCGTGTATTCCCGAGTAAACTGGAAATGTCAGGTCATTGCTTCCAGTTTACTATCAACAGAGCCGAACCGATTTGGTCGGTCGGTAGTTCCAGCTGGTTGATCGGGACTACCGGTGGGACGGGAGATCCCGGTAAAGTGGAAGAAGGCGGTAGGAGGGGAGGAGACATCCCTTCCCGCTGCTTGTCATGGCATTCAAGGGTTGATCGGGACTACCAATGGGACGGGAGATCCCGGTAAAGTGGAAGAAGGCGATGGGAGGGGAGGGGATCTCCCTTCCCGCTGCTTGTCATGGCATTCGAGGGTTGATTGGGACTACCGGTGAGAAGGGAGATCCCGGTAAAGTGGCAGAAGGCGGTAGGAGGGGAGGAGACATCCCTTCCCGCTGCTTGTCATAGCATTCAAGGGTTGATCGGGACTACCGGTGGGAAGGTAGATCCCGGTAAAGTGGAAGAAGGCGATGGGAGGGGAGGGGATCTCCCTTCCCGCTGCTTGTCATGGCATTCGAGGGTTGATTGGGACTACCGGTGGGAAGGTAGATCCCGGTAAAGTGGCAGAAGGGGTGGGAGGGGAGGAGACATCCCTTCCCGCTGCTTGTCATGGCATTCAAGGGTTGATCAGGGCTATCGGTGGGGTGGGAGATCCCGGTAAAGTGGTAGGAGGGGAGGGGAGGAGACATCCCTTCCCGCTGCTTGTCATGGCATTCAAGGGTTGATCGGGACTACTGGTGAGAAGGGAGATCCCGGTAAAGTGGCAGAAGGCGGTAGGAGGGGAGGGGACATCCCTTCCCGCTGCTTCTCATGGCATTCAAGGGTTGATCAGGGCTACCGATGGGAAGGGAGATCCCGGTAAAGTGGTAGTAGGGGAGCAGGCATCCCTTCCCGCTGCTTGTCATGGCATTTGAAGGTTGATCGAGACTACCGGTGGGAAGGGAGATCCCGGTAAAGTGGCATAAGGGGGTGGGAGGGGAGGAGACATCCCTTCCTGCTGCTTGTCATGGCATTCGAGGGTTGATCGGGACTACCAATGGGAAGGGAGATCCCGGTAAAGTGGCAGAAGGCGGTAGGAGGGGAGGGGACATCCCTTCCCGCTGCTTGTCATGGCATTCAAGGGTTGATCGGGACTACCGGTGAGAAGGGAGATCCCGGTCAAGTGGCAGAAGGGGGTAGGAGGGGAGGAGACATCCCTTCCCGCTGCTTGTCATGGCATTTGAAGGTTGATCAGGACTACCAATGGGACGGGATATCCCGGTAAAGTGGCAAAAGGCGGTGGGAGGGGAGGGGACCTCCCTTCCCGCTTCTTGTCATGGCATTGGAGCAGCTTTTACTAGAAACCGGGCCGTCGGCTCTAAATACGGCACCGTGAGGATGCCGGCAGCTCCAGGCGTCATCCAGGTACAACCACGTGAAGGACGGTGACGTATCCGGTACGTGACTGGTCGGCAAGTGGTTAGACCAATCAAATTCCGCCGTCCTTTCTCCCTCTTGTTTGATTCCACACCCAATCTTCATCAAAGTGCCCCCATCCTCACCAAAATTTCTGCAAAGCAAAAAAAAACACTCCACGTCACTCACCTCTGTCCACGTGTTGCAGCGGTGAGCGTTGCTGGTATTTGTAAGAAATTCTCTTTATTCCAGGCGAGGGAAGCTGCGAGTGCAGCTGAGAAATGTGACCCAGACAACATCCTCACTCATTTTCATCCTGCTGAAGATCGCAGTCCACGAAAACAGCGAGGTGGAAGGTAAATGACCTCTTGTACCCCAGGTTCACATTGGTGCCGATTGCAGTGCGTTTTCCAGTTTGCAGAAACACACTACAGTCCATTTATCAGGATTTCTTATGGAT